CAAATGGTGGTGTGTATAAAGGTCAGCATACTTTTCTTGTTCATTTAAAATATCAAAGGTCACATATCTTGAATAATGAAAACTTTGGAAAAAGCCATGCCTTAAAGGAAAGCATGCTTATAAAAGTTTTTCCACAGTAATATACAATAAAGTCCTGGAATCATAGTATTTTAAATATATACATATTAATTTTTAAATCAAATTTCTTCAGGAGAACTGAGAACTTTCTGAATGATTTTAGAATATATAAATCACTAATAATACTGTTCAGACATATTGCAATGAATAGTTCAAAAAACGACTGCATATTCAACTGACATGGAACTCAGTACCAAAAGAGTCCAGAATCTCCAAGCTAAGGACATCTAGTTGTGATGGTACACGTGGTATAAAAGAATTTGAAATCCTACAAATTACATTGAGGGAAGAAATAAAAATAGTAATTTCTATGACTGATTAGTGAATGCCAATCTGCTGATGGAGGCTGGAATTCTTTGTGTGCATGGCATCTTTAGTCAGGAGGATCGTCCTGTGTTGAAGTCTCTCTCTCATCACCGGTACAGAGACAGAATCCTTGGAAGAACACAGATTGTAGAGCTAAAGAGGGAGATTAAACCTCAGACACAGCATGGAGTGTGGGTATGGAGATCACTGTGTCCGGAGAATATTTATGGCTATAAAACATCTCTGATACCTAGGGAGGAACCCCTGGAGGGTTCAGATACCACAACATGCTTGACTTTCAAGAAAGGATACTGTGGTGAGAGTGTAGAGGATGTCCTGATATCAGTACAGGCTGAGCAAAGACCAGCACAAAGGCAGGGCTAATCCGGGCAAGATAATGCTGACCAGCATTCACCAGGTAGTCTGTGCTCTGGAGATGAAAGGATGGGGTTAGATTTGAGGGACTGAAGGTGGTGAGAACTGAAAGCTACGTTCTGGTGAATGGAGATGATGGGGAACTGAAGCTAGTGGCCAGCTAATTCCCAGACACCTGAGTTGCTGATGACTATCTTATAAAATTTTGGGGTCCCTCTAGATACCTCTTAAGCAAGGAAGAAGTTTTCCCCTGGCCTTGTTCCTGGAGGAGGAAGCTGTTGACCATAGCTGTGTAAGAGCAGGACAATGTCCTCCATGCCCCACCCCCATGTTGCCCAGTTTCGAATGCCTTTGAAAACAATCAAGCTGGATGATAATGACATACAACTGGAAGGAAACTTATATGCACAGAGAATGAATCTATGAACCAGGAAGAAGTGTGTAAAAAGAAAACTCAAGTAGACCACTCATGAAATACATGAGCAGTCTCTCCTGGCAGAGTAGCTGTTACAAGTCGCTGGGATGAACATGTGTCACCAACCATCTCTTTCCTGCTGGGTAGATTGTCTTAGTGTTGTAAAGGAGACTGAAGCTTATAGGTCAAATTAAATCCCAAAATAGATGCATAAACCCTGACTCATTTCTGTATAAACCTCACACACACACACACACACACACACACACACACACACACACACGCACACACACACACTCATACTCACATTCTCACTCAGCCATGGAGACCCTGTTCTAGGTGCCACTCAGACTGCCCAATAACAGTGTGCAAATTTAGATCAAATACATAACTCTGAAAAAGGGTTTGATTGCTAAAAGAAAAACACTATTCCTTCCCACAAGCACTTTAATGCCCTTCTGTGGTCACACAAGTAGGAAATTGGTGCCTTCCTCTGGTCACTGGTCTCTCTATTAACTCTGTGCCCCAGTTAGCATTGGAAGCAGATTCAGTAGCTACAAACTTTTAACATGCACATTTCTAGACCTCAAAAGTGGACAGGCCCAAGAATCTGCTCTTAATTTCAATTTTCTTGGTGATTCTTTTGTGGGCACTCGGAGTGCTGAGGAAATCTGGGCTGTCCATGTATGGATCCTGACATGCTGTGAGTAGAGACCAGAGTTCTTCTACTCCTCCTCCTGAGCAGGTTTTGTGTTGATACCTCACAGTGTGTGTATCATGATGCACTGTCAAAAACAGGAGGCAGCCCTTAGTTCCTGGACAGTCTGGAGGAGGCGCCACCTGGCCAATTTCTCATCAGACACTGCTAATGGAAATTCCTCTTTAACCACAACCACAGCATCGTCCAACTCCAAATGATTCTGGCTTTATATGTTGTTTTCATTGCTGAATTCTGCCCTCTTCCCACACACACACTGTTACATGTTATTTCTTTGTGGAACCTGTATTTTTGAATTTCCATTGGGACGAAGACCCTGTGTTATGCCTAGAGTACTAAGAAATTCACAGACAAGGACTTTTGTTTCCTAAGGGCTACAGCAAAGGCACTAACTTCTTTGAGGAAGAATAAATAGCATCTTTTTATAATTCGGCTTTGCTGATTAAAAATAAATAACCTGCATGAAGGTGATGCAATCTTAGAACCTTAGGAACAAAAGTAACTTGACATTTAAACTTGAGGGATGGTCCCAGCATCCCCCAAAGCAAGTTTCCATCTTTTGCCTGGATAACTGCAGTGATGGGGAAGCCCATCAAATCACAGGATAGATTCATTAGTTGCTGGGAAGAGGGGACAGTTAGTGAATCCCCAGCAAATGGCAGGTACATTCAGAAGACATCATTTTAGAATCATCATTTGATAATTTTTAAAGAGGAGAGGCTGGAGAGATAACTCAGCAGTTAAAAGCATTGTCTGCTCTTACAGAGGACTTGGGTTCAGTTCCCAGCACCCATATGGTGGCTAACAACCATCTGCAAGTCCAGCTCCAGGGGATCCAATGCCCGCTTCTGACCTCCATGGGCATTGCACAACACAGGTGCACTTACATACATGCAGACAATACATTCATACACATAAACTAAAAATGATAACTAGAACACATAAAAATAAAATATTTTTTGAGTGCAAAGCAAGCCAAAAAAAAAAGTACTGCATTTTCTTCTCTTCCACCTTTTAGTTGTGTCTTCTGAAAAAAAAGTAAAATTGAGTTCACTTATTGGGGATTCTGTATATGCAGGCTGTCATAATGTTCTCCCCATCTTACAAGTAGTAACATTTTTGATTCTTACAAAATCCCATGAGCAATATATTGACCCCACTTTACAGATGAAGAAATAACCCCCAAGGAAGTGAGCAATGACCAAGGTCAAGTAGGTTCTCTAAGGGCTCAGCTTCACTGAAGGACCACATGCCATCACACCTGCAAGATGACAGACTACATGTCCTCACAGAAGGACCACGTGCTGTCACACCTGCAGGAGGACAGACCACATGTCCTCACAGAAGGACCACGTGCCATCACACCTGCAGCTAGGACAGCACTCGTCCTCACAGAAGGACTACGTGGCATCACACCTGTAGGAGGACAGCTCACGTGTTCTCACAGAGCGGCCACGTGCTATCACACCTGCAAGAGGACAGACCACATGTCCTCACAGAAGGACCGGGTGCCATCACACCTGCAGCTAGGACAGCACTCGTCCTCACAGAAGGACTACGTGGCATCACACCTGTAGGAGGACAGCTCACGTGTTCTCACAGAGCGGCCACGTGCTATCACACCTGCAAGAGGACAGACCACATGTCCTCACAGAAGGACCGCGTGCCATCACACCTGCAGCTAGGACAGCCTACATGTCCTCACAGAAGGACCGCGTGCCATCACACCTGCAGCTAGGACAGCACTCGTCCTCACAGAAGGACCACGTGCCATCACACCTGCAGCTAGGACAGCACTCATGTCCTCTGCCTTTCTCTCCTCTGTTCTCAATCTCCTTCTCCCAGAAGTCATAGCAACTATCAAGGACAGCTGTGCCACAGAGGCATTACAATAATCATCTTAGATTCTATCCAGTACCCTGTGGGGCAGTATTGTCTCCATAATACAGAGTGGTAAACCAAGACCTGGGAAAGTGAGGAGACTTGCCAGAGGATGCAATGTTTGAATATTCTTGAATGTTCTATATTGCAATTCAGAGTTTCCTTCATCATTACTCTGAAAAATTAGCACAGAATATTCATCATATAATTGTTTTTGGTAGAAATCAGGAGATACACACACACACACACACACACAATGTACAGCATGAAGCATATAGCAGATATTCTAGTAATTAATTTATACGTTTCCTTCAACTATCTCGTACTCAGTTGATCTCTTGAATTCAGAAAACTCAGTCTGCCTGGTGTGTCTTTCTTGTTTTTTTTGTTATATCAGACTTGAACAATTTTAATTCCATTCCTTTCCGTTTGCACTTCCCAAACTTCTTATCAGTCTCTGCACCTACTGGATTCAAAAACAATCAACCTGTCAAATCAGGTTAGTCAGTCTGGGCACAGCACCTGTGTTCTGCTTCCTGAAGTTGACGGAACACACTTCCTTGCACTTTAGCCCTCTGCATCAAGGGTGGAGTGATTCTCAGTGGTTACTAGTCTTTATCAGTCATATCTGCCTTTATTGTGGGTTTACCACATGTCCGGGTCTGTGGAAAATGATCAGTAGGGCATGTTTATTTCATCGTTTATCCAAACTGTTTGTGATTCCCAGTTCCATGCCACAGAGATTACGAGTCCACATGGAGGCTTTGAGGGAGGGGAGTTAAACAACGTGCCTAAGATCACACAACTACAAAGTGGTAGGGCTAGGACTCCTGAGCCAGGAGGGATTTGCAGGTAGCTTGGGTGCGATGGTCTCCATGTCACCTACAGCCTGCATCTGGCTATGGAAAAGGATTCGGTTCCAGCCATGCCAGGTGTGAACAGCAGGATATTACCCAAGTTGCTTTGCACTTCTGTGTCTTGCCCAGTAGGCGGAACCTTTCAGTGGCAAAGTGAGGTAGACACATTGTGCTCTCATCATCTAACTGGTCCTGTTGTCCACACATTCCCAGCCATCTAAGCACTGTTAAGTTACTAGTTGTAGAGCCTGGGCTGTGTGTGTTTGGCTGAGCTCATGTCAAGAGGTTAATTTCTCTCCTTGTTTTTCAGGTAATGAACCAAAAAGATCATGTCTGAAGTACAAGGAACAGTTGAGTTTTCTGTGGAGCTACATAAGTTTTATAATGTGGATCTCTTTCAAAGAGGGTGAGTATACTTCACTGTTTGGGGCTGTGTGTGTGTGTGTGTGTGTGTGTGTGTGTGTGTGTGTGTGTATTTCCCACAGGAGGTGAAAGAAAGAGGTCAGACTATACAACATTTGTGATCAATGAAAAATTTTCATTATTTTCTTGCAAAGTGTAAAATCTAAACTATTAGTTCATCTGAAAGTAAATTATACGTTGACTGAGACTAGAAAGTGCTAATTTAATCGCTGCCCCTGCAGTTCCTTCTGTCTTCCCTCTCCTCTGTCCATTGCCAATATAAAAGTTACAAGAACAAAGCTTGACCATGAAGTTCTGATAGAAACTCATCCCAGGCTCAGTTCTCATTGGGTCGTCCCCCCAGACCACACAGAATAAAATCCATGACTAGATCTTTCAATATCTGAGACTGTTTTCCAAATATAGTTAAAGAATAGTTACTGGCATTATTTGGAGAATACACACTGAACTTGCCATTTAATGGATGATGTCCGTGAGGTCCTGTGACAGATGTACATCTCTTGGCCGCTGGATAGGTAAAAAGCAAAATGGTTACATAAGGTAATGGAATGCAGACCAGACCATGACTGAGGATCCTTTCCCTGTATTGGCAAAAACACGGAAATCAGTGTTCATAGAACCAGAATTTCTGTGTTAAGTTTACAGAGTCAACAGATGTCTACAACAAGGACATCCACTTGTTTGCTTGTCTATAAAGGAAATCTTCTAAAACACATTAATTTGCACAGAGACTTTAATTCCTCTCATGATTCTGAGGTTAGACTGTTGGGGCTGAACTCAGCTGGGTGATTCTTCTGCACTGGCCTGGGCTCAGCTAATGTCAGAATGACAGGCTCACAGGTCTGTGGCCCTTGCAGAGGAGGTCATTGGCTCTTCTCCCCGTGGTTCCCCATCCTCCAGCCGGCAGGCTGGGAATTCCAAAAGCCACAATGGCAGCAACTCAAACTCGTTTTTTCTCACTTTTTAGAAAAGTGTATGTATTTCTGGAGTATCAGATAACGTTCACATACACAAAAAGGAAGGAAGAGAGGGAGGGAGGGAGGGAGGTTATAGAATTGACACGTCCATTGCATCAAGCGTTTGTCATTTCTCATTGTTGGGAGCATTCAAAAGCCTCTCTATTGAAATACACAACTAATTGTTGTTGATCAGTCAGTTATTCCAAATGATGATGATGATGATGGTGGTAATGATGATGATGATGATGGCGATGATGGTGATGGTGATGATGGTGATGATGGTGATGGTGATGGTGATGATGGTGATGATGGTGAATAATGATGTTGACAATGGCAATAGTAATGACAACATTGATGGTGGTGATGGTGATGATGATGATGATGATGATGATGGCAATGATGGTGATAGTGATGATGGTGATGATGGTGATGGTGATGATGATGATGGTGATGATGATGATGATGGCGATGATGATGGTGATGATGATGGTGATGATGACGGTGATGATGATGATGGTGGTGATTGTGATGATGGTGATGGCGATGATGGTGATGATGATGATGATGGTGATGATGGTGATGATGGTGATGATGATGGTGATGATGATGGTGATGATGACGGTGATGATGATGATGATGGTGATTGTGATGATGGTGATGGCGATGATGGTGATGATGATGATGATGATGATGGTGATGATGGTGATGATGATGGTGATTGTGATGATGATGGTGATTGTGATGATGGTGATGGCGATGATGGTGATGATGATGATGATGATGATGGTGATGATGATGATGATGGTGATGGTGATGATGATGATGGCGATGATGATGATGGCGATGATGATGATGGTGATGATGATGATGGTGATGGTGATGATGATGGTGATGGTGGTGATGATGATGATGATGATGATGGCAATGATGGTGATAGTGATGATGATGATGATGGTGATGGTGATGATGATGATGGCGATGATGGGGATGATGGTGATGTTGATGATGATGATGATGATGATGGTGATGATGATGTGATGATGATGATGGTGATGATGATGATGGTGATGGCGATGATGGTGATGATGATGATGGCGATGATGGGGATGATGGTGATGTTGATGATGATGATGATGATGATGGTGATGATGATGATGGCGATGATGATGATGGTGATGATGGCGATGATGATGGTGATGATGACGGTGATGATGATGATGATGGTGATTGTGATGATGGTGATGGCGATGATGGTGATGATGATGATGGTGATGGTGATGATGATGATGGCGATGATGGGGATGATGATGATGGTGATGATGATGATGATGGTGATGATGGGGATGATGATGTGATGATGATGATGATGGTGATGATGGTGATGATGATGGTGATGGCGATGATGGTGATGGTGATGATGATGATGATGATGATGGTGATGATGGTGATGATGGTGATAGTGATGATGATGGTGATTGTGATGATGGTGATGGCGATGATGTTGATGATGATGATGGTGGTGATGATGATGGTGATGATGGTGATGATGGTGATGATGGTGATAGTGATGATGGTGATGATAATGTGATGATGATGATGATGGTGATGGTGATGATGGTGATGATGATGGCGATGGGGGATGATGATGATGATGGTGATGATGATGATGGTGATTGTGATGATGGTGATGGTGATGATGGTGATTGTGATGATGGTGATGGCGATGATGGTGATTGTGATGATGATGGTGATGATGATGGTCATGGTGATGATGGTGATGGGGATGGGGATGATGAGGATGATGATGATGGTGATGGCGATGATAGTGATGATGATGGTCATGGTGATGATGGTGATGGTGATTATGGTGATGATGATGATGATGATGTTGATGATGGTGATGATGATGATGGCGATGATGGTGATGAAGATGATGGTGATGATGGTGATGATGATGATGGTGGCGATGATGGTGATTGTGATGATGGTGATGGTGATGATGGTGATGATGATGATGGTGGTGATGATGATGATGATGATGGCAATGATGGTGATGATGGTGATGATGGTGATGGTGGTGATGGTGATGATGGTGATGACGGTTATGGCGATGTTGGTGATGATGATGGTGATGGCGATAATGATGATGATGATGATGGTGATGATGGTGATGATGGTGATGATGTTGATGGGGATGGTGATGGTGATGACGATGGCGATGATGATGATGGTGATGGTGATGATGATGGTGCTGATGATGATGATGATGATGGTGATGATGATGATGGTGGCGATGATGGTGATTGTGATGATGGTGATGGCGATGATGGTGATGATGATGGTGATGATGGTGATGATGGTGATGATGTTGATGGTGATGGTGATGGTGATGACGATGGCGATGATGGGGATGATGATGATGGTGATGGTGATGATGATGATGATGGTGATGATGGTGAATATGATGTGATGATGATGATGATGGCGATGATGGTGATGATGATGGTCATGGTGATGATGGTGATGGTGATTATGGTGATGATCGTGATGATGATGTTGATGATGGTGATTATGGTGATGATGGTGATGATGATGTTGATGATGGTGATGATGATGATGATGATGGCGATGATGGTGATTGTGATGATGGTGATGGTGATGATGGTGGTGATGATGATGATGTATGAGCTAAAGACTGAGATCAAGGTCTTATAAGTGCAACTTCCTCACAACGACTTAATGAATAAGACATCATTGTCCTCATGAACTCATGAGGAAATGGTGATGATGGTGATGATGGTGATGATGGTGATGATGATGATGATGGTGGTGATGGTGGTGATGATGGTGATGATGGTGATGGTGATGATGGTGATGACGGTTATGGCGATGTTGGTGATGATGATGGTGATGGCGATGATGATGATGATGATGATGATGGTGATGATGGTGATGATGGTGATGGTGATGATGGTGATGGTGGTGATGGTGATGATGGTGATGATGATGGTGATGATGGTGAAGATGATGATCGTGATGGCGATGATGGTGATGATGGTGATGATGGTGATGATGGCAATTTTCCTAACATTGCAATTCACCCCCCTATGTGAACGAATGCTTACACCACTAGCTTCCATCCCCCACACTTTCCTTTCTCCACCTTTCCTAGGTTCTGAGAACCTCTGTGCTTTAATCTGTTTTCATGAGATCAAGTGTTTAGCTTCCATATGTAAGAAACAACATGCAGTATTTGTCTTCATGTGATTTATTTTACTTAATCTAATTTCCTCCTAGCTCATCTTTTTCTATGGCATTTATATATGTATATGTGCAACATGCATGTAATATGTATGTATATGTACATTATCTTTATTCATCCACCTATTGATGGACATCTAGATTAATTCCTTATCTTGGCAACTGTGAATTGCATGTGGAGGTGAAGATACTTTTTCAGCATTCTGATCTTTTTCTTTGGATTTGTATTCAAGAAAATTGAATGTTTTTTTAGATCACATTGCAGTTCTATTTCTAGGTTTTTTAGTAACCTCTATACTGCTTTTCATAGTGACTGTACTATTTTTATTATATTGACAATGGTGTGTAAGGGTTCCCCTTTGCCAAGTTCTTACCAACAGTTTTGTGTGTGTGTGTGTGTGTGTGTGTGTTTATGTGTGTGCCATTTTGACAATAGTTATTCTAATTAGGGTTAGATGATATGATCTTGTAGTTTTAATTTTTATTTCCCTAATAATTATTGCTATTAGACATTTTTTCGATACTCATTGTCCATTGTGTATCTTATTCTGAGAAATAAGTAGCTAGGTCATTGGCCTGATCTCTTGCTACCCAGACTTGACATTCACATAGTCCTGTTTTCAAATCCTGCTGTGATGGTTAACAGAACTCATAAGTCAGAGAAGCCATCTCTGGATAAAAGAGATCATGTGTAGTTTTATAATCAACCACCCAAGTGAGACGCTAGTTTCAGAAGGATCACTCTGAAATTAATGACTTTTGC